TAGAAGAGTCCTACCCCTCCAACCAATCAATTTTCTAAAGACATCTCCTATTCAACGTAGAGTTTAAAAGGCATTTTAATTCCTCATTAGATATGAGAGAAAGAGGGACTTCAATAAAAGGTTCATCGTACGACAGCTTAGGAGCTGGAGGGGACGACAAAACAGAACCCTCCATATCCAATTACACAGGAGAAACACAACAAGTTGCAACCAACTGCAGAGGAACCAACTCATTGATAGGAGAAGACACATCATAAACAACAACCAAAGGTTCAGCACAATCCACAAACAGAATAGTTGGAGCAAGCACAGCAGCCCCACATGATAAGCTACCTTTACAATTAGTGTAACAATTCAACTCTCATACAACACGAAAATTAGGGGCAGAAAAGGAATAAATCAAGGGTACTTCCCTCAAAATTTCCACACTCCCAACCACACGCTCAAGAGGGGCAAACGGGGAGGGAACCAGAACACCAACAGACTGGCCTTCAATGACCAAAGCTACGGGGCTAGCATCACAGGCACCAGCCACAGTTTCCATAGACTCAACATTCACTAAGTTAATATCCTCTATTCACTAAGTTAATATCCTCCATCTCCTTAGCAATAACAGGACTCTCCACAACAGGCAAGATAGGACCCTCAATAACCAAAGGCACCCCAGGCAGCGCACAGGGATTAGAAATAGCACCAGGAATGTTTATAGTAGCATGAATAGGATGATCAACCTTACGGGAAAGAGAGGAGGAAACCTTGCCATAAATCAACGGGTCAGCAACAAAATGGCAGTGACTGAACAAATGTCCAAAACACTTATAAGAACCACAAAATTGAGGGAATTCCTCAAAAACCACATGTTGAACATAGCCAAACCTCTCAGAGCCTAACCAGATCATGTCAGGGTAGGACTTAGAAACATCCAACTCTACCAAACACGAGCTAGGGACGGCCTGGAACCAATTGAGATAGCGGAATCAATTTTCAGGGGTTTGCCAAAGAGCAAACCCAAACCGTGAAGTATACGGGGAGAGAAAAGGTGAGGGCGCAAATGAGGGAAAGAGATCCAGATGGGAACAATCGGCGACTCGACCCCAATATCCACAAGGGGCGACCACTTGGTAAGCTTCATAAAACAGTTATACACTAAATAGGATCTATGGCAAAACACACGACAATAATCAAGATCATTTTTTAGCTTGATAAGGATATGCTTCGGATCCAGCATGGTGACCAAAAATTCCCCATTCAATTTAATGTTAAAGAAAAATCTACGAATTGTATCCAGAGAAGGACGTTTCGTCGATAAAAAACCAATCAAAGAGAACTGGAAAGGGGCAGCTAAAGCATTGATCTCCTCATCCGATATCCAAAGCGAGGGTAATCCACGAAAATAGGAAACCCTATGTTCAGGAAAAGAAGACACATAAGAGGAGCTAGTTAGAGCATCTACAAAAGAACGGGACGAAGAAGAACCCTCTAAAAAACCTGGATCACAGAGCTTCGGCGCCATGCCGGCACACGTCGAAAAGAAAAGAAATCAAACCAACAAAATAAAAGCCAAGAGCACAACCAAAGAAAAAGGAAACTTCCTTGGATGAATGAAAGAATACGATGCCAGCAAGGATCCCCGACATATCACCGTCGGAGAAAGCTAGGGTGAAGCCCTAACAAAGCTCACTCGGCAAACCCTAGCAGAGCTCACTCGTCAAAACCATTGATTACAATTAATTCTTATATGACGTCCACATTCACTTCGACAATGCAAGAAACAATGATGTGGTAGCAAGCTCGCTTAAAGTAAATTGCTATGAAGAGGCAAGATATATTTCAATTAGTGCTGCAAATGAACCGAGTTGAGTCGAGTTTTAGCAAGTTCGAGCTCAAGCATGTTTGCCAACACCATGTTTGAGCTCGGCTCAATAAGATTTGAGCTTTTTTTATGCATGTTCTAGCTTGAGCTCGTTTAAAAATACTCTGTTCGAGCTCAACTCATGTTCGTATTTGAGTTCGGTTCATTAAGGTTTGTCAAGCCTATTACAGAGCGGATAGTTTAACGAGCCGAGCCTATTAATAAATAAATATTATATTTATTCAAACGAGCTGCTTGCAGACCCATCCAGCCCAGCTTGCAAGGTCGTCTTCCATACTGCTTAGTTGACCTGACCAGTTCACCGGCTAGGCAATATGAACTTCCTTTCCATGGTGTAGGACTAAACCAACATGTTTTTTTTCCCCTGAAGGAGCTAAGAGTAGGAGAGGACAGTTCAATAATTAATAATATTTAATTCAACAAAATTCATTTAATTTAACAAAATTCATTTATTAATATTTATTTTTCCAAAATTTAATCAAGCTTGTTCATGAGCATTAAAAGATATTGTTCGTGAACATAAATAAATCAAACGTTAAGCTATTTAAGCTCATTTATTTAGCTATAGAATATTTATCAAAAGTGTTCAAACTCGTTCATTTAGCTTATCAATCGAACATGAACCAGCTCTTATCGAGCCGAGCCACGAGCAGCTCGTTGAACGCTCAGTTCATTTGTAGCCCTAATTTCAATGATCTGTTCTTCAGTGTTAGATGTTGTACACATATTTTAAACATAATGGTTCAGGATTTCTTAAGAGAAATTTAAATAGTAATTCAAAATATAATAGCAATAGTTAAATATCTTATTGAATCTTCTGCTAGATTATTTAAGTTTATTGAAGTTTCAAAATAGCTGGAGGTTGGTGTCAATATTTGATCGGCCCGAAAACCGACCCGAAAATTTCGGGGTTCGGGTCAACCCGAACCCGAATAGGGTCGGGTTCGGGTTAGGGATTTCAACCCGTTTGTAAAACCGGGTCGAGTTCGGGTTGACCGGGAAACCCGAAATCAACCTGATTTGACCTAATTTTAATTAATTTAGGAGAGTTTTAATGTATTTTTATGAAATAAGTAAATGATATTTCAAAAAATTATAAACATGATTGCCCAAATTAAATTAATCTTGATTTATTTTAAATTAATTGAACTAAATCTTACTTTAATTTGATTTAGATTTAAATAAATTGAATTAAATAAAAAAATTTAATAAAATATACCCGAATCGGGTCGGGTTCAGGTTGACCCGGACCTGAAGCGGGTCGGGTTCGGGTTCGGAAAACCGACCCGTTTGCAAAAACTAGTTGGGTTCGGGTCGGGTTGAACAGTGTCAGGTCAATTTTAGGTTGGACCCGAACCCGACCCGTGACCTGATTTTGACAGCCGCCTCCGACACGATTACTTTCTACTACTGTTCTTGACGATTATAAGAGCTGCTCATCTATTATATTTATTAATGCTCTTGAATGTATAGCAAACTGGATAAATTAAGCCGCTCAAGATAAACGCAAAAGCACCTGTGGTAATTTGCAATGTTAACATTTTTTTTATAGTTCAAAAAATTTATGTAATAAAAAGTTGTTTTAGAAAGCGGTAAGAAAGTTGTTCCAAATTAAAACTTCGTTTAAGACGGCTTTCTTATTGCTTTTTAAAATAGTTTTGAGTACAATTTTTTTTACTAGAAAACTACTTTAAGAAGCAGTAAGAAAGCCATCCCAAATCTAGCCTAAGGCTTTGTTTGTGAAGGCTTTTTTATTGATTTCTAAAACGGAGTTTTAGTACAAAAATAAAAAAATTTGTACTAAAACTCCGTTTTAGAAAGCAATAAAAAAGCTGTCCCAAACAAATCCTAAATCTTAATTTTGATTTGTAACTATTTTCTAGTTGGTATGGACATCCTCAAAGAGGACTATAAGAGTTAGCGGGTCATAAAATAGAACTCTAACTCATATATGATTTGAAATGACAAGCTTTCAATGGTGTCTATCCTCGGAACAATTATTACGTCCTCCGACTGGATGCAGAGGAACATTCGGTCGTAGGTAAAATCCCGCCTATACCGAGGTGTAACGAGTTTTTTGTAAAAACTCGGTACACCTCGGTATATGCGGGATTTTGCCTACGACCGAATGTTCCTCTGCATCCTTACACCGGACCAAATAAAAGTTCCTATCCTCATAAATGTTGAAGAGAAATAATGAATTTAATAAATTTTAAGCAATTTTATATGCAAGTATATAGATTTGCACATACAATATGAAATAAGAATATTTTAAAGAGGATATTTTATTGAATTATTCTTAGAAAATTTTCTTTAAAATTACTTTATTAGAATTTATTGAAATTTTCTAAAAGTAATTAGGATGAAATTAATGATAAAGACAACGTAAAGAAGTGAATGTTTATTTCTTTTTATTTTATTTTCTGGTGTCACCTTTAACATAATATGGAATATATTAAGCTATAATTTTTTTTATGAAGAACTAAATTATCAAATAATAAAATGTAAGCTTCATTAAATATTTAAAACCGTGGATTTGTATTGAGATAAATACAATACAAATTATTTAAATATTACAAACATTACAAAGCAAATTCCAAGATTTTAAAATTCATCATAATCATATTTTATCACATAATATAAAATATATTAAGTTGCAAATGTTTATGTTTTTTTCTTTTTTCATGAAGGTCAAAACCTAAAGGTTCACATAACAAAAATTAAGCTTTATTATTGTTGCATGCTAACACGACGTTTGTATAAAATAAACTCATTTAAAAAATAGAAGGCCTTTCAAACTTAAAAAACTAAATTCTTCGATATCACAGCCATTTGATTCCCTTAAGGTTGAAAATTTCACTCAGATTTAAAATTTATTAATAATGCCAATTTTTAAAATTTTCACACTTTTGTTTAAAAAAATTAAAATTTTGATGGCCAAATTTGGGTCTTGTGTAGTAATTATCATTAAATAGTGTATTATTCTAGAAAAAATTCACACTCAAATGACCTATTAAATATTGAGTACCGTCAAAGACATTTGTAATAGCTTAAGCTACTCTGTTTTTTAAAGCACTTTTTTCAGCTATAGTTTTATTTTATTTTATTTTTTCAAAAACAGTCTTTCTTACCCCAAAATTCTACTGCTATATATTTTCATTCAAAGAAAATAACTTGTTACACTGATCGGTAACCTGAAATCTATGAATCTCGTTTTTTTTTCTTTACACTAAACATATCATATATCGTACTAATTACATTAAGAAGCTCTAATATCATCTGTGGCTTAAAAAAATGGTTGAACGGTCATCAATGTTCTCTCAGCCATATCCGAGCAGAGCAGGAGCAAGCTGCAACAAAGGCTGCAAAGAGCTGGGAGCAAATTTCCTCGCAAAGAGAACACAGAGAGAAGAATGCTGGCCATTGTACATACAATCCCAGCCACTAAGAAGCTTCTTCTTCATGAATTCCTCAGTGATATCATCTTTGCCAAAAGTTGCAGGGTGAGCTCCACCTCTTGACCAATCCACAAAGGTAAGACTACTATTTGCTATCAGATCTGATTTTTCAATGTGGAGCATGGTTGGGAAGTAATGCTCATCAACATAGCAAGGTGGCTTGCAGAATTCCTTGAACTTGGCGTAGTACTTGGTGTCTTGAAGTATGTAAATTGCAAGATTTCTATCAACTTCAAACCACTGAGATCCTTTTCGCCATTGATCGATGGTAATCAATGGAGCCATGTTGGGATTATAGCGGCCTCTGCCATGAGGGCCTTTGTCATCGAAAACGCCCATGAAGCTGAAGTGAGATCTCTGAAAATATTTGTAGATTATGCTGAAGTTGTAGAGAGGTATGCATGACTCAGAAAGAAGAACAAACCACTCGTTGGAGAGATCGAGGAGCGCGTTTGCAAGGAGACGTTTTTCTGCATCACACATGCTCATTCTTCCCCATTCTGCTACCTGTGGGATGGGAAAAAGGAAAGGGGTGCGAACAAAAGGAGGATTAAATTTTAACTAAATACACCAATTATTAAATCTTTTACATCCAAAAAGTAAAGCATATATGAGTGAAATCCAGCCCCCTAATATTTCCACACCAATATACTTTTTAACCATCCAATTTAAAACTAAATTCAATACTAACTCAGATGAAAATACATCCCAGAAAAATTTAACACTTATAGTATCTTCCTCAATCATGACACAGACTGTACTTCAATTAATCATTATTCTTTAGATCCAAAAATGAATTGCTTTAAAAGAGGACAACATCATTAAAGAGGCTATACTACCAAAAATTCAGAGGATGGGGAAGAGCCAGGACTATTTACTTGGTTGAGTTGCCCCAAGCTTGAGTCCTGCGCTTGACGAGAAATTATTCTGTGCGGATACCAGACATAATTTTATGTACGGATGCCACGGTACAGAACGGTACCGAGTGGTGCTGAGCAGTACCGAGCTGCGTTACAGTAAAAGGGTGACATGATGCATTTTTATTGGTCTACGGATGGCGTTCGGTGTCCATACATAATAATTTTTATTAGCTTGACAAGTTAAATGTGAAAGAAGGTGCTTGGCCTCGCCACAAACAGAAGAAGCCTTCTTTTTAGAATGAAGTACAGAATGGAGCATAACGAAGAGGATTAAAAATAAAAATTAGAGAGCAACACAGTAATAAAGTAGGGAAATGAAAGAAAAACCAGAGTAGCATATATTCATCTAAAGAAAACGGTAAAAGGAACCAGTGGAGCTCAGCTGTTAAATTACTAGAAAAAGAAGACACGAAAAGAAGCTGTTTATTTTCTTATGCTGCCAACTCTTACAAGGAAGAATAAAGAAAGAGAATACAAGGACAGGGAATAAAAGCTTCCAAACTTAGCAGAGCATAGTAGACCTTAGATATTTCAGAATTATCATCAAACCGTATTTCTTTTTTGGAGTTTTGAGCAAATTAGCCAAAATTCTCTACAAAGAGATCAAGGTGAGCTGTGTGTCATCTAACAGTATTAAAAATCTCTTATGGAGTTCGTTTGGGGCGGCTTTCTTAATGTTTCTTAAAGCAACTTTATAGTACAAACATTAAAATTTATGTACTAAAAAACTATTTTAAGAAGCAATTAAAAAGCTCTCCAAAACTAAACCTTAGACTTTCTTTGGAACAATTTTCTTACTGCTTTAAAACAGTAAAAAGTTAGTGATCAACAGCATTAGTAACCTAATGAAGGAGCAGTTTTCCATGCAATAGGCCTTGCTGAAAACTTAAGCATGATGAAGCATCTTCTGTCTAAATTTGTAAGTTTATTTGAATTAGCAATTGATTTTTTATCTATTCTTTCAACACCTATAGCTACCACAATACGCACCTAACCATAGAACCAGACAGCTAAATATCTCTTGGAGTATTTTCTTCTTAATATCAACCAACTAATTAAAGAGAGATTAGCATTCCAAGCAACCAATTTGAATCTCAATGACTCAACCCTCTGCTTCCGTAGGAGAAAAAAAAAATCTCCGTCAATTTTTCAATGCTCCGTCAATTTACTTTTCTAAATTAATGATGATAGAGAACTATCCAAGTCCGAAAAGACTTTTCAGTCCACATTTACAGAAGGCACATTTAATTGGCATGTGCCATCATTGTCAATGTTTCACAAGTTTAGGTTCCTCTTGGATTCTAGTGGCGCAACTGCAACCCATAGGCATGCCCAGAAAAGGCACCTTGCATTTAGCTTCAAGTAAAAGAAATGGGGATGGGGAAGAGAAAAGAACTTTGGATGGGATGAAACAATTGATTCTTTGTATAGAAAGTGCTTCAGCCATAAGCAAATAAAAGCTGATATTAAAGATTTTATGTTATACAGGATAAGCATACAGTGGATATACCCTCAATTTTTTGTTTTCATTTAATAAAAGGACTGATGGGGTCTATCTATCGCTGTGAAATCTGATTGTGTCGATCAATTTGATTGTAGTGTTAAGTCATACCTCAATTCCATCGGTCTGAGTTCACCGGGGGTTGCAGGGGGCAGCACTCTATTCTTGAAAAAATTTTCTTTTTTTATACACACGACGTAGCGTTGTACCGTTCTAAGCTTGGGATGAAGACAGAGAGCAGAGCGCCACAACACTCCAAATCACGACGATGCAACATTGTAAGTTGCAACGCCACGGTGCTGACGGGTGGATTTAGAGACAAGGAGTGGGCGTCGCATCACTGCGAGTCAGGCTGAGTAGTTTTTCTTCCCTCTTTTTCTTGTTTCACTTAAAAAAGGTTACAATCCTTTGTTGTATTGAAAGGCGTCTTATTTTTTGTTTTGAGTAGAACAGAGAGAGAAGCTAAGAGAGGGAATGGAAGAGTGTGAGAAGAGATATTTGTATGATTCCTCTCAATTTTATAGAGAATTTCTTAGTGTGATACGGCACCGTGGTTTTTTTACCAGTTCTGGGTTTTCCCAAGTTAAATCCTGGCATTCATTTCTACTATTTTCTTTTTTTTTTTAATTTCTTTGTGGTTTACTTTCCAACAGACAACATAAAACATCCAATAATCGTCCAATTTTCAAAGTTTTTTTTTTTCCATTTTATGAGCATTTGATAGATTGAGAGCATGGATTAAGAACATCATAGCACCTCTAAGCTCGAAATAATTAAAATGACTCCTTAAACATAACATATAATATGTATATATTACTGCCACTACATCAATATCTCAATAAAAGGTGAGAACCAAAATTATTGCAGTATCTGTGTAATGCTTATGAAAGAGATAATTGTATGCGTTACACCAATCGAGTGAACTAAATGACATTTGATCTACATGATTAGATTTTAAGCATAGATATTGCCAAACAGTGCATAAAATTCCCAGAAAGAATTAAGGTTAAGAAAAGGGAAAGAGAACCAACAATGGAGATATTATTCATACGAAGCTAAAAGGTACTAATTGTGAATCACTAAAGTCTAGCAAAAGATAAAGACCAAAACTAAAAGAAAATCAATGAAACAGACATAAGATTTCAGAAAAGTAAATCTAAATCTTCTGAAAGGATATATTAACCATTAAGTAATCCTAAAAGAAGAACAAGATGCTAAAGTACAAACGTACAAGGAAACAGAACCAACAACAGGGCAATCTCTTGAACCATATGTTGGAGCAAATAAACTGAACAAGCGCAGTTCAAAGACTTGAAATTGATTTCATTGGAGAAAAACATACAAGCAAAAGTATTTTAAATAAAATTGACTGCAAAAGAGCCAAAATATTCAAAAAATTTGATGAAATCATAGAGTACCTGGCTAGGAATCTGCCTCTTATAGAACACGGAGTCCTTCGGATAGCTGGCTTTATAACCGGGCAAAGAATGAATAAAGATAGAATAAAGGCCCTCATTTCCCTTGAAGAACTTCTCCCACAGTGGAGAGAGAGGCAAAGGTCCCCTCGTTAGGAACATGAACGCAACCTTCGGCAATCTCTTGAACGGATAGTTTTTTACTTCTGGGGCGAAGCTCGCAAGCCAGAAGAGCTCATGATCACTCATGTTATGCAACAAAGAAGAAGGAGGTTTGATCCAACGATTAATACCGCTCGGCTCCACAGTTATACAGGGCAAAAAACCAGACTTTGGCGACTGCAATTTTAAAATTCGAGTATCGAAGAACCGAGCACCAAAGATGAAAAAACCAGCAGCCAGGAGCAAGAAAGGGCCAAAGTACTTGACGATGCTAAACAAATAACCCCTGGGTTGAATCCTCTGCGCCAAATCCTTGCCATCTTCAGCATGAAAAACCCTAGGTAGCATCTCAGCCCGATGAACAACGGCACCAAAAGATAATTTTCAATGTTTTCGATCAAAAAGATCTTTTAAAGAGGAGGAAGAAGATAATTCTTATCAAAAATCGCGTCTTTTAAGAGCTAATAAGCTGAAAAGGAAGGACTTCCGCACCGCAAAAAACTCCAAACTAGCACCTCCTATGACGAGAAATTATGTTGTGAATGGAAAGCGAAATCGAATAGGAAAATTTAAACAAATTAATAAACTTTCCTCGATTACCTGAGTAAATTGCGTTTATACAAACGGAAATTTTCTGGAAACAGGTAGATGGGGTCGGCTGCGAAGGCCGAGCAGACGTTATGGAAATCCACGAAGAGGGAGGTAGAAGCTCTTCGCGGTTTGGTGGGGCCTCGCTGCAGAGAAGGTCTGATTCCATGCGGAAGTCTTTATACAGAGAGAGAGAAAGAGGGGTCTAAGTGGGTTTTTAAAAAAGCTTATAAAAATAAAGAGAAGAAGGTCCACGTCGACGCCGTGGGCCGACGAGACTCAGAGAGATCCTTTGTAAATGGTCAACAAAATGGAAAAATGGCGACCGATATCGGCCTTTGGCGGGACATTGGCCGTAGGAATGAATGCTGGGGATGAAAAGTCCATGGTTGACTAGGCCGATTGTTCCGTCCTCGTCGCCCACCGAAATTATGGATGCAAAGTTGTGCATCGGAGGCACTCTCCTCTCGTAGAAGAATTCCAAGCTTTAATGCAAAATTTCAGGACATATTTAGTTGAAAAATATTGATTTAGAATATTCTAATTATAATGAATTTCAAAGTTTTGAATTTGAATGAAATATAACAAAATTAATATAATATGAAATTTTAAACATATTTAATATTCTTTAGATTCATCATATTTTTTTGATAGACTTTTTTTTATAATGACAGTCATTATAAAAAAATTTATATCTATTTTTTTTTTTTTTGCAAAAAAATTACTTCATTTTAAAATGTAAGAAAATTTTCTCAAATAAAACTTATGATCTGCTCAGAACTGTTGTAACTTTTATGATGAAGATTGTATAAATAATTAATTATTATAAGGAACGTTGATATGTCCTCAAAAAATTATCTTGACTGGGCATGAATCTCGATGCAAAACCAAGTTGTAAACTTCCGAAATTAAAATTGGGACCATCCGAACTCCGATTTCAGCAAACTTATAGTCGCATTGAACTTCTTCGGAAATACGAACCCAACGACACCAAATTCGATCAATTCGAGCCCAAATGGGTCCAAATCAAGGGTCCGAAGCGCTGTTGGAGGGTTTGAACCACAATTTGGATTATCAAACGGTTTTCAAATATGACGTGCTTATAGTCAAATCTAGTGGTTCGACGAGACGAATCCAACGAGCTCAAGATCACTAAATTCCGACATCACTAAGACATTCAAATGTCCATCAAACGGTTCATGATCTAGAGATTCAACATCGACCGTCCATCCAACCACTCTCCATTTACCCTTGATCTCTCACCTATTTACGGGCCATGCCACTACAAAAATCTATAAATAGACCCCTCATTTCTCTTGAAAGGGGACCCAAGCAAGAAGAGAAGGAATAGATAAGGAAGAAGCTCCTCCTCGACCACTACTTGAGTTCCGCCGGACCATCGTTTGTTGTTGTTGCTCAGTCGGACCACCACTTGAGGCCCTCACCCTCTCCAGACCACCGCTTAAGGCCCTCACTGTCACGACCCGACCCGACCCGGGGTGAATCCCGCTCGCACCGGGCCGCGACCAAACCTTTTATCCAGGATCTGGCTTTGGAATTTGCTTACTGAACTGAATCTTCCAAATATTTCAACTCAAAAGCCAACACACAGACACAGACCAGAGCTACTATGAATTGTCAATTGCAGCGGAACAAAACACCTATATTTTTCTTTCTTTTCCTCAAAACAATCATCTACAAATACGGTACATGGCTAACAGAAGAAATACAGAAGAAAAGCCATGACCGTACAAAAATCAAAAGTATAAAAGTACCTATCACAAATAGGACTCTGAACTCTAGTCCTGGACTTCCTTCCCTTTCCCAGAACCTGAAAACCACCAGAAAATACGTTTCTCTTCGTCCGGTTGGAGGACCTAATAATTGTTCCCTAAACAGATGTACCGTGTGAAGCTACGGGGACTCGATGCATGCACTGTACAAAAGGCAACGGTGAAGGGATGAGGAAAAAAAAACCATTTAGTCAACGTTTTATTTATTTAAATAAATAAAACATAGAATCTTCTGGATCATTTTGGTTTTTTGGCAAACCCCACTAGCTCGAGCCAGCAATCTTTTGAATACAGCCATGGGAACTTCGTTAAGCTTTCGAAGGTAATAAACGGCCACGTTGATTTGATTCTCTCTTATTATAGAGATAAATATATCTTTATATGATCATCTTAATAAAATATTACAAAATCATATAGAAGATGCAAATAATATTATCATATGAATAGTATATTATAATTATTAATGAATTAATTAAGATTTAGTTTTAGATTATTTTTTTGTAATTATTATTATTTTTAATTTTGTACTAAAATGTTATTATAGAAAGTATAATTTTTTTTGTCTCAAATAAAATCTAAATTTATGATTATTTAATAAAGTTATAATGTGATTTAAGATGACAACAATTGAGAGATGGTCAAACAAAATAAGTCCAAATAATATTGATATATTATTAAAAATTTATATTTGATTGGACATAAATCTCAAGGCAAAATTAAGTTGGAAGCTTCAAAAATTAAATATGGGATCATCTGAACTCCAATTTCAGCAAACTTACAGTCAAACTGAGTGTATCGGAAATACAAATCCAATGACACCAAATTCAACTCGATCCAAACCCAAATTAGTCTGAATCGAAGACCCGAAGCGTTGTTGGAAGGTTCAAATAACAATTTGGATTAAACAACGGATTCCAAACATGACATGCTTATAATCGAATCGAGCAGCTCGACGAGACGAATCCAACGAGCCCAAGATCGCCAAATTACGATATCGTTAAGACCTTCAAATGTTTGACAAGCGTTCCACGATCAAGGGATTCAATATCGATCGTCCATCTGAACCACTCCATCTTTGCCCTTGATCCTCCTCCTATTTACGGGGCATAGCATCCTCAAAAAACTATAAATAGCCCCTCATTTCTTTTGAGAGGGGATCCAAGCAAGAAGAGGAGAAAAAAGAAGAAGATAAGAAGAAGAAGAGAACGGAAGGAGGGAAGAAACTCCCCCTCGACCACTGTCGGGATTCTGCCTAACTTCCATATGACACCTGAACTCTGCCCGACTTCCACGTGACGTCGGAACTCTGCACAAGTGACACTGGAATTCTGCCCGACTTCCAAGTGATGCCGGAATTCTGCCCGGCTTCAAAATGACGTCAGAATTCCGCCCGACTTTCCAGTGACGTCGGAACTCTGCCCGATCTTCAAGTGACGCCGGAATTCTGTCTAATCTTCAAGTGATTTTGAATTCATCTTGAATCCACAACTTGTTTGTAATTAGATTTCAATCCGGAAGTGAATCGTTGTAATTTGATCATCCTCAAATTTAAGGAAGAGTCAGACTCTTGTATCTTAAGCAAACATTAGTGGAACCCTTTCAATTGGGCGTGACCCCATGATTTTTTCCCTTTCCAGGGTTTTCCACGTAAAAATTCTGGTGTTCTTTCATCTTCTGTTTGTGTGCTGAATATTTGTACAACGCTAAGACCAAAGCTTTCTAACTTTATTGCCGCGTATATTCTAGTCCGCAACAAATATAAATAAGCATCTCAAGCTCAGCTCATATGGGCGAGCTTTGAGTTCATTCTTGCCATGTTCAAGCTATTCAAGTTGAGGTTACTCTATTTAGATGCATCAAAATGTAGTGTATATCGTAAGGGTGTTGCATAAATAATATTTTCTTTATTTTTATTTATTTGATTAATACAATCTTATTTGTCCACTGCAAATTTTTTAATTAGGAAAAAATTTTATGAATATTTTGATCACAAAATAATTAAGATAGACCTCAAACTTTTGAATTTATTTTCAAGATTAAGGTTTTATGTAGGGTTGTTTGGAAAAACTTTTCCATGAATTTTATTGTGTAAAAGTAATTAGTTAAATAGTAATGTGTTTGAAATAAACCTTTTTGAACTTTTCTTTAATTTTTTTTTTATTTGGGACATTTAGATAAATTAAGGCTGACTCACACACACATCTCATATACAAGATTCGAATTCAAGACCTTTTAGCTGATAGCCTAAGCTCTCAACTAACAGATCAAGGTGATATGTGCAAATTTTTTATTTAGAAAGCTATTTTTGAATGAGTATTTATTAAATGTGACTAAGGGTTCATTTGGGACAGTTATCTTACTACTTTTAAAGCTTCTAAAAAGTTATTTTAGAAAACAGTAAGAAAGTTATCCCAAATGAAACACATAAGTCTTCATTTGGGACAATTTTCTTACAATTTTGTTTTTGAGGACACTGTCAATATTTATATTTGATGACTTTTTCTATGATGCTTTTAACAAATTTGGTCTTTAAAAAATAATAATAAAGTTATCTTAAACGAAGCCTAAGAAAAGAATATTTTAAAAGCAAAATTAGACAAAAAGCTTGAGCCACCCTTTGAACAATTATTACGTCCTCTGACCGGACGTAGAACTACATTCGGCCGACAATAACATGTCGCCATGTGCTCTTACTCTTTACCGTGCGGCCCGACGACTTGACCCGGACCAGAACCCGGGAATGCTATGTTCGCGTATTGCGAGGTATTATACTCGGTATTTGCTCGGTATTGCTTGGCAATAACGAGAAATACCGCTCCGTGAAGACAAAAGGCTTGAGCAATACCTAGTTATTTGACCGATATTTGCTCGGTATTTGCTCGGTATTAGTTATTGCCGAGTAAAATCGACCAATACCTAGCAATATCGAGCAATACCTAGCAAAATCGAGAAATACCGAGCCATCCTGGGTCCGTTCTGAGTCGGGTTGTCGGGGCGCGCGGTAAATAGCGAACGCGTGACGCGATTCTACTGGCGGCCAAACGTAGAGCTACGTCCTGTGACCAGACCAAATAAAAGTTCCCTTTATAAAGTCTAAGCTTTTCTAATTTTGCTTTTAAAAACTTATTTTCTCAGCCATAATTTCAAAAATAGCTTACACGTTATTTTTTTATTAATTATTTTTCTTATCACAAAAAACAGTTTCAAATCAAAGCCCAATCTTTTAAAGGAAAATGCTTATGAATTTATTCATCTCACATTAATTAATTAAAAGAAAAAATATAAAACTTTATATCTTATCCATGCATCTCACATTAGTTATACTCTTAAAATTAATTATAATGAAGTTTCTTCAAATCCTGATAATAAAACATGTTGGAAAATTTTTATATATG